CAAGGGATGGAACCCATGTCTCTTATGCTCCCTGCATTGGCAGGCAGGTTCTTTACCACTAGTGCCACCTGATTGACATAAATAGGCCAAAAGAGCCCTCATATCAACCCTGCCTCTCTTAGAGGAAAGATTGTCATCATGCAGATAATCTGACTTAACAGTGATAAATGCATGATGGCTATCATTAAGTCAATTTTACCAAAGCAGGGAAACTAGTCATTTATGAATAACGAGAAGTATGTCTGTGATATCACTGAAGTCCCCCTTTGGAAAGGGCTGGATATACAGTGTAAGGATTTTGATGATTGCTGTACACTTGGTGTATGGTAATGCACACTTTATTTATGTAAACTTTCTTTGATTCAGATATGGAGTCCCTTCTGGTCATTTTATTAGGCTCTGTGTATATATCAAGCAAGATTAGATGGTATCTTTTGTAAATTCCACACTATTTGAGGAAATGTATCCTTTTTGTAACCATATAATGAACATAAAATTGAGCCCATTTGAGTCTTGGAAATTGTACATTTTAAAAGAATTATTTAAATACTGAATCTTCTTAAATAGTTTAAGCTATGTTACTTGGACATTAAGATTATATATCATATGTTGGAAATATGCAAATATCACTTGAGAGCATTACCACATTTTGAGAAAAAAATAAGTATTTTTTTGCAAGGGACCAAAAAGGAATATTTCCAGATATATGATTCATTTGAAAAACTTACACATAATTTTAGGCTGTTGCATTTGAACTTAAAACCCAAGCCTGACACAAGCTGTTATGTACAAAATGCTGCATTAGTTGCACAGCTGCCTGGGAGGTGAGTGAAACTCTACACACATTGTTGCTAGTTAATTTTATTCCTAGAGCCCACTTGCTGCCATCCTTTACCTTGTTTCCAAAGTAAAGAAACCTGCATCACAAGTTCAGATCATATCCTCCAGAAAAGAAAACAATATGATATTGACACCATCTGACAGGAAGATGAATAAATGGGACACATAAGATACTTGCATTGGAGGTTGGCAGCAATTAACTCATGTTTAAAATTTGTGATTCTCTAAGCCATGGGACAGAGCTGAAGCTAATGAAGATCTGTGGAGGAAAGACTTTTGCAGGTATGCACGTGGAGCACCAGGACTCTTCTGATCAGAGGCAATGGTTACAAAGGAGAGAAGGCATGAGCACGTCCCCAAGCAGAGAACTCCCCTGTTTAGGGCAATGCTGATGATGTCTGGATGTCTGGAGCTCTGGGAGTGGGCACCATCACTGGTCCTTCTGTGCTGCCTGACATCAGACCCCCCATGAAGGACGTGTCAGCAGGTGGGTACTCAGAGCCTAAAGAACACCTGGGAGGTGTGTGCATGGGAGGTCTCAGAGAGAGGTCTCTGTGGGATGCCCTGAGCGGTCTCTGGGTGAGATTTCTCAGAGTGGATGTGTGGGAGGTCCCCCTATGGAAACAGTGTGGGTCTCTGTGTGGAGACACCTAGTGAGCGCACCTCGGTTGCTGACTGTTCTGCCCCTTACAAGAGAAGGGCACAAGGATTTTCCCCTTCTGGTTTCTTGCTGTTCTGTTGGTGTCCCTCTGTGTCACTTCTCCGCACAGGTGTCTTTGGGGTCAGCTCCCCCACCCTCAGCACTGACCTCTTGATGCCTCTGAGGACCAGGCAGCCCCCAGTCTCAGAGTCTCTGCGTGTGCCTCCCTCTCTCCTGAGCTCTGGAGGCCACTCTGTGCCCTGAGTCCCAGCTGCTCCCTTAGACCCTGTCTGAGCCCCCACTGCTGTGCCCACCCTGAGCGATGGGGCCCAGAGGCAAGACCTGGCTCCAGGCAGAGACCTCAGCACAAGCAGGCCTGTGCACGCTGCCATGCAGACCTGGACCTGGTCCCGTGTGTGGGGGCCCTAACAGGCGTGGGGACAGGCCCATTCCAGCTGTCACCTGGATCAGTGCCCCCTCCTGGAGCCAGTCTCTCTACCCCACTAGTGATTCTGACACAAAGCCCCGAATCGCTCTAGAGAATTGCTCTTGTCTCCTTGCCTTCCAGGGCTTCCCTGGTGGCTCAGATGGTAAAGAATCTGCCTGCAATTCAGGGGTTCTGGCTGCGATACCTGGGTCAGGAAGATGCCCTGGAAAAGGGAATGGCTACCCACTCCAGTATTTTTATCTGGGAAATTACATGGACAGAGAAGCCTGCAGGGTTCAAAGAGTTGGAAATGACTGAGTGACTCACAGTTTCTTGTGTAGATGGGTCCTGGGGAAGATAGCTGACCGCACCCTTCTCTACAGGTCACTTCCCACACACTAGGTGACGCATCCTGCCTGCTGGCTGCCTCCATGTCCAGGCTCAGGGCTGAGCAAGGCTGATGACAGCTGAGACTTGCTATGACATAGCAGAGCCCCTGGGCCTGTTGAGTGCCACCTGTCCTCTGGGAGCCTCCTTGGGCCACATGCATAGGTAGAGGTCCCGGACCGTGAGTCTGTGCTGAGCTCCCAGTCCTGAGAAAGCCGATTAACTACACTCTGGAGAGGTGGAGATTGCCTGCTTGGAGGCTCTGCTGCTTCTGAGGGCCTGGCCCTCTGTCAGGGACTCCAGGTGACCTTCCTCTGTCTGGGCTCTGGGAACTTGAGTAGAGGTGAGGCTCTGGGGTGGGGCCACCCAGAGCCAACAGCCCCGTAACTTCTTTCCTCTGGGCGTGTAGATGCTGGTGGGACACCAGGGGCTCCTTGGTCACTGCACCATCTATGTGCACCTCCGACACCTGCCTCCTTTCCCTGCATCCGACACTAGGGGTACTGTGTCCCACCCTCAGACAGTGAGGTGACTGCACACAAACACGCCCCCTGCCCATTCCCTGCAGAGGTGAGTACTATGAGCTCTCCTCTTCTCCAGGGCAGGGGTGGACCAGCCCTCAGGGGCCTCCATGCTCCACATTGCAACCCTTAGAGCTGAGAGTTTGCGATTCTCACTCTCACCCCTGCTCCAGAGCATGAGAAAAACAGGGGAAGGGTGACAGGCCTGGCATGTCTCATTACAGCTCCATCTGGAAGAGGAGGAGCTTCCAGGACAGCGTCATCTAATCCCACCATGACACGTGGATGAGGTTTCTCCCACCCTGGACTCGGGGCCAGCACTGCCCCAAACTCCCCTCCTTATTCTGATTGAACTTGCTTCTGACACTTTGTGAGCCTGGGGGGAATTTCAGCTTGGGCAAACTCTTCCCCTACAGACTCACAAGTTCAAGGCAGAGAGAGAGGTGGGAAGAACTGAGCTGCATCCTGAGAAGAGGGAGGTCTTCAGGTCTAGTTCACCGTGACATGTCCTGAATGCTGTTGCTTGTTTCTGTAATGCTGTGCTGGTATTATGGACACTGAGGTGCAGGGAGGGAATTAGGGTGTGGATGAGTATCCATGCTTGGGTTCACTTTCCTTCCATGACCCCATCCCATATGGAAGTCAAAGCAGGCGCCTGGGAAGAGTGGACCCTGACCCATTTCCTTTCTCCAAGCAGGGCACAGACAGAGCACCATTTCTCAGGAGAAAGGACATTTATTTCAGAAAACAATTTTTTTGGTAGGAAGAAGCTTTTAACACACAGAGGATGTGCTAACATGAGAGAAAAATTGTTCATATGCACGGTATGCATTCTTGGAGAAGAATTTTCCTACCAGGAATGCTGTGACAGGGATGTTCTGATTGATCAGCAGAGGTGTATTTCTGAAGAAGATAGTGCCTTGGGCTGTGGAGGGGACGGCCTGGGACACTTGTCACTCTTGATCCGTGCTGGCAGGTTCTGCCCGGCCGGGGACCTGGCTCCCTGGGTGGGAAGGTCCATGTGCTGTTCCTGGGACTGGTCCACTTCCTCTTTGTAGGATACATATGGCCTATGGGGGTAGCTCACTGGTGGTGGGCTGTTTGTTTCATCACTCTCCTTTGCTCTTGATTTCAGAGTGGTAGCAGTAAGCTGGACTTAATGGGGCCTGCAGTTCTGCTTTGTACCAGTGAAGCTCTGAAGATGTTGTCCATGGTGAAGCTCCATCTTCTCCTATAAGATCTGTCCAAAAGATGTCAGTCATGAAAGCCTGAGCCTCAACAGCCTTGCTGTCCACAATCAGACTTCTTTTGACAGTCCCCTGCCTCTGGGCAGTGTCTGCTGCAGGCTTGCTTTTTGCAGGGCTTGTTCCAGTCTTTTGCCTTCGGGGGCAAATCCACTGCAGGAAATGCTTAATCCTTTCTTTAAAGTGGTTTTCTGAAGAAACCTGTCCCTTCTTCAGGATTAACTGTTTTGTAGGGACTCTGCTGATTCCTTTTTCTGGCCAGGGTGGCTCATCCTGTGGGCCTGGTAGAACCTCTGTACCACCAACCCCTTTTTATGCTATTGTAGTTTGGGCCTCCTATTAGTCTCTCTCGCATCAGTGGAGACGAACTTCCTTTGCTGACTCTTATGTTGGGCCTGCCTTCTCAGGGCTTTCTGCTGTCCCTAGCTGCTCCCTCCACTTGACATAACATCACATGTGTGGGAATTGGACAGGGTTTCAGAACAGCACAGAGTTTCCTGGGAAGTCAAGGTGTTTGTGGCAATGAATATATCTGAGTGACAGTTTTTGAGAAGCCTCCCAGTGGCACAGTCTTGAAAGAGCAGGCAAGTGACCTGGCCTTGAGCCTGTTTCTGCCAGTCTATGAACCCTTGGAACTTAAGCTTATGAAACTGTTCATCAAAGTATACATCTTCTGGATTTGTGGCAACAGACTTTGTGTTTGAGGAGGGATTTTTATGGGACCTTGGAGACCATGATCTTATATCAATATTAATTATTTGGGATTTGATTAGTAGACTAGATTCAAAAGAACCTTTCTAACCAGGGTCTCCCTCCACAGCCTCTTGTTTTATGGAAGATTGGGAACATTCATCAGGGTCCATGACAGTCACACTAGAGCAAGTTTCTGGGGTGGCCCAATCCCCAGATTCCTCCTGTGGCTCATTCCTGGCCATTTCTGGATGTGGACTGTGCTCCAAGCTGCCTTTGTCAGCCTCCACAATAGACTCACTGTGCCAAATTCTGCCCCCAAAGGTGTTATGTGGGGGCCTGAGAAGGTGGCTTGTCTTCCTGTCCAGTCAGAGGGGCCTGTGAGGGCTTCTGGATGTTTCCAGTTGTGGTTCCTCCCAGAGCCCCCCAGGTTTTTTCAGTTGCCTGGTAGGGGGCAGGGCAGGTACTCTTCAGGGTGGGCACTGCCTGGATTGTTATCACTTTCTCTCCTGGATGGGGATGAGAATGTTTTCCTGAGCCCTCTGTTAACTTGGGTTTTTGGGTGGTCCCCAGAGTCACTGGCAATCTTCAAGGTGGATCTTGGAAGTCGTATGTGATGAGAAGTTTTCAACTTCAAGCTATATATGAACCTAGGAGAAGGACCCATCTGTGCCTCACCTGAAACTTTATTATATGAGCTTCCAGCTCCGGTTGAATATGAGGACTGAGGATAAAAGACTCATAGGAAGTCTGCATGGAAGCTTCCCAATCCTGAGAACAACCTGCATTTTCTGTTCCCATAGGAGCATTTGACTGTCCAGGAAGGTCTATGAAGTGGTTGGCAGAAAGCCTTGAACAATAGACATTAACAGGGATCCAACCCTCATGGATCTGCTGTGACTTCCTGTTTATAAAGACCCCCAGGATTTCCTCTGGATGCTTCCTGCCTGGGCTCAACTCTCTAACTCAGGCTTTGCACTTGGGACCTTCACTGGAGGGTTTGCTGAGGTCATGCACAAAACTTTTAGGAACCTCCTCATGCTCTGCTTTACATCTTGGCTCAGGAGCTTTCCTGTTGGGATCCTTGCTAGGTACCAGGATGCCATTTTCTGTGTTTCCTGGCTGCTTTTGCCTAGACCTGCAGAAGGCCTTGAGGATCTTTGTGTGCATTGCCTGCCAAGGCCTTGGGGATTCTCCCTGAGGCTGCATCACTTTCTGAGACTCGGGTTCTGCAGGGCAGCCACTCTCTTGCTGCATGAACCTTTCGGAAAGAGGGCACTCCAGTCTCTCCTGAACCTCAGGGCTGATCAAATCCACAGGAACAATGGAGACAGATTTGCGTGCCTGGGAAGACCTGTTTTCCTGGGGAATACTGGGGTGATCTGGCTAAAGACTTGCTGAGATTTTTCTAACCAAAGAGGGTAAAGTTTGCCCACTTTCTAGTTGCTTTTTTAAAAAGTGACATTATAGGATTTGAATTGCATTGAGGATCAAAGTTTGTGCCTTATTTTGGACTACAGGTCAAGACACTTCGTCATATTCAGTCTTCAGTTGAGAGGAAGATGGTTCCATTGGGAAAGAGAATGTGAGATGGGCAGTGGGTCCCCATGTGAGTCCGAGGTTGTGGTTGTGACTGAGGTTTGATTGGAGTCAAGGATTGGGTTCAGTCCTGGGTCCCCATGTGAGCCTGAGTTGGTGATGTTTGAAAGTGAGCTGCGGTTGGAGTCTAGGGTTGGGGTAAGTATGGGTGTCCACATGAGCTGGAGGTGGTGGTTGAAAGTAAGTTATGGTTGGAGTCATAACTCCATAGTGTTTTTTTTTATTAATTTATTTTACTTTACAATATTGTATTGGTTTTGCCATTCATTGACATGAATCAGCCATGGGTGTACATGTGTTCCCCATCCTAAAACCCCTCCCACCTGCCTCCCCGTCCCATCCCTCTGGGTCATCCAGTGCACCAGTCCTGAGCACCCTCTCTCATGCATCAAACCTGGACTGGTGATTCGTTTTACATATGACAATTTACATGTTTCAATGCCATTCTCCCATATCATCCCACTCTCACCCTCTCCCACAGAGTTCTAAAAGACTGTTCAATACATCTGTGTCTCTTTTGCTGTCTCGCATACAGAGATATCATTACCATCTTTCTAACTTCCATATACATGTGTTAGTATACTGTATTGGTGTTTTTCTTTCTGCCTTCACTCTGTATAATAGGCTCCAGTTTAATCCACCTCATTAGAACGGATTCAAATGTATTATTTTTAGTGGCTGAGTAACATTCCATTGTGTATATGTACCACAGCTTTCTTATCCATTCATCTGCTGATGAACATCTAGGTTGCTTCCATGTCCTGTCTATTATAAACAGTGCTGCAATGAACACTGGGGTACATGTGTCTCTTTCAGATCTGGTTTCCTCAGTGTGTATGCCCACAAGTGGGATTGCTGGGTCATATGACAGTTCTATTTCTGGTTTTTTAAGCAATCTCCACACTGTTCTCCATAGTGGCTGTACTGGTTTGCATTCCCACCAACAGTGTAAGAGGGTTCCCTTTTCTCCACACCCTCTCCAGCATTTATTGCTTGTAGATTTTTGGATAGCAGCCATTCTGACTGGCGTGAAGTGGTACCTCATTATGGTTTTGATTTGCATTTCTCTGGTAATGAGTGATGTTGAGCATCTTTTCATGTGTTTGTTAGCCATCTGTATGTCTTCTTTGGAGAAATGTCTGTTTAGTTCTTTGGCCCACTTTTTGATTGGGTCCTTTATTTTTCTGGAATTGAGCTGCAGGGGTTGCTTGTATATTTTTGGGATTAATCCTTTGTCTGTTGCTTCATTTGCTATTATTTTCTCCCATTTTGAAGGCTGTCTTTTTACCTTGCTTATTCCTTTGTTGTGCAGAAGCTTTAATTTCACCATTGCAATGAAAAAAATAAAATACTTAGGAATATATCTACCTAAAGCAACAAAAGACCTACATATAGATAACTATAAAACACTGGTGAAAGAAATCAAAGAGGACACAAATAGATGGAGAAATATACCATGTTCATGGATTGGAAGAATCAATATAGTGAAAATGAGTATACTACCCAAAGCAATCTATAAATTCAATGCAATCCCCATCAAGCTTCCAACTGTATTTTTCAGAGTACTAGAATAAATAGTTTCACAATTTGTATGGAAATGCAAAAAACCTCAAATAGCCAAAGCAATCTTAAGAAGAGTGGAACTGGAGGAACCAACCTGCCTGGCTCAGGCTCTACTACAAAGCCACAGTCATCAAGACAGTACGGTACTGACACAAAGACAGAAATATAGATCAATGGAACAAAATAGAAAGCCCAGAGATAAATCCATAGTGTTTTGATTGGACCTGGATCTCCACTTGAGCCTGAATTGGTGATTGACACTGGCGCATGGTTGGAGTCAAGAATTGGAGTCAAGTCTAGCCTGAGTCTCCATGTGAGTCCGAGGTGGTGGTTGAATCTGGGGCATGGTTGGAATTAAGGGTTGGGTCTGGCCTGGGTCTAAATGTGACTCAGAGGTGATGGCCGCAGCTGGGACATGGCTGGAGTCAAGGACGAGGCTAAGCCTGGGCTACAGAGTGGATCAAGGACTGGACCAATGGCAGTTGTGAAGTTAATTTAGCTAGAATTTGGGATTGTTTGGCCTTAGAGCATTCACTGAATAAGATAGGGTATAAGTCTAGAGGGGACCCAGGTCCTGTGTCAGTAGACACCAGAGACTCACTGTGCAGAAACGGGAGACCCAGAAGAGCTGCCTGCATGTCTTCTGTAGATGGACCCTCAATGTGTGAGGATATCGGAGCTTTTTGGGGCCAAGCATCTGTTCTGGTTTGCCTTTTATGCTCCAGAAATGCTGGTGCCCAAGGTGTCCTGCTTGTCACTCAGTGACTTAATTCCCTTCCCCAGTGAAAGTCAGATGGCAGCCTGCCTCCTCCTCCTTTTCTTACTCTTTCCAGATCTTAAGTTCCACTCTCCTGCTGATTCATATCTCTAGCAGCTTCTGGACATCTGTGCTGACAAAAAAGAGGCTACCTGCCTCTACCTGTCTGTTTCTGGGGTCTCACCAAAATCACGCCTCTGGTGAGTGTATGGGAAGGTATTCTTTTAGGTCCCCAAGTGTGTCAAGGTGGAGAAGCTCCATTCTTTGGCAGCCCCCGCCACCAAGACAGGGTAGGAAGAGGATAGCTGGAACGGACGACCCCTACGATGGCTGGTCTCCAAGGGGAGCATGGGTGTGACCTTTGTGGGACGGTGCCCATTGTTAGTGCTATGGGCTCACCCTGAGGGAGGCTCAGCAAGGAGCCTAATGGTTCTGAGGTGGAAGGCAGGTCCCTGTATCAGGATGACATGGTGGGAAGGAGAGAAAACAAGTGGGTGGAAGACTATCCAGGGAAAAGAGAGGCTGTGGTGTTGGCAAGGCTCTCAGGGATGAATCTGAGTGAGTGGAAACTAAGGCAGGAACTAAGCCTGGACAAAAGCTGGAGAAATGCTTGAGGCTCGAGGCAGAGGCCTTTTGGGCAGAGAAGACATGGAGGACATGGGGAGCGGACTTTTCCCGCCACAGCTGTTGGGCTCCAGGAGGTGTTTCTTTGCACATCTCCCCTGGGGCATCTTGAGAGGAGACCTGATGAAAGCTGCCTTTGTCAGGGAACCTCCCCAGGTGTCTGCAGCAGATATGAGGAACAAGCTGCAGCCAGGAGTTTCTGGGCCCGGAGAACTGGGCAGGCTGGGAAGGGGTGGTCATCTGCAACCAACTGCCCTGCACGAGCCCCATACTGAATTCACAATGTCCGTGCTGTCTCTCACCCCAGGATTTTAGCCATAACCCACCCCCAGGACTCCCCCTTCCAGTTCAACCCCAGGCTACCTGCAGCCCTGGGGTCACACCATAGGCTCAGGAAAGAAGAACCACTGAGGAGAGAAGGGGATGATTCTCTACCTTTGCAGAAGCGGTGTCACATCCCAGACCTCTTCCAGTGGTTCCAGGCAACCTCTGCAAGCTGGAAATCAGTAAACTGGGTCATGGTGAGGAAGCCAGGGCATAGGGGTATTACAGGAGGCTGACTGCAGTATCTCTTTAAGGGGACACAATTGGGATATTGGAAACCAAGTACCAGGGTCCAAGGCCGCATGATCCCTGACAGTGATGGTGAAGCTTGTGATAGGGTTTACATTAACAAAGTGCTTTCATACCCACTACCCCTTGATGCCTTCACCAGTCCCTTTGTGAGGGAGAATGGGCAGCATTCACTGCATAGATGAATCTGAGAAATGTTAAATGATGTGCAAAAATAATTAACAGGCCCTGCCACTGGCCTCCTCTGAGCCGGTGGACGTGGGCCCTCAGGGTCGGAGAGATGGGGCTAACTCCAGGGGCACACATAGCTGAATGGCAGAACGTACCTTTCAAAACTCCACTCCTCTCCCTACTCCCACTTCTCTGCTTTGGCTCCTTTTGATGCTGAGACACAGAAAAAATGAGGACTTGAGACCCAATTCTCAGTCTCTCCTCTCTAGACAAGCATCAGACTCTCAGTGTCCATACATAATATGACTTTTGGCATTTCACTAACAGAGC